TTTGTGTTAAATTATGTGCTCACGCGTTAATTGTAAGACGCTCTTCTCAAAGTGAGGAGAAGACCGAGTATAGGCACTACTTATGCTTTGAGGGTCGCATAAATTTGGCGCAGAATTGCTGGTAAAGACGACCCTTGCGTTTGATGGCGATAACTGTTTTATCGCACCTACGTCAGCGCTTCAGTGAAACTGCAAAAATATCGTTTTTTCCTGCTCCATCAAAAATAAAGGCAAAAAATTTGCTCATTGATCGGTTATTATAAAAATTTTGATACGGAAATCGCTGTAAAAAGTAAATTGGAACTAGCTTTTGTTCAGCACGATAGGAAGCGGCGTGATTTGCGGCGACGGTGACTCTTGGTGCGGGTGGCGCGCCAAGGTAATGAGGGGGTAGCGATGTGAAACACGCAGCAGCAGCAGCGCCGAACGTGAGTGCACTGCCTAATTGAAAATGAGGCGACACACCTGCACCAGAATTACGACCTCTGCCTCTCTCGTAAAGTGCATTTTGCGACGGGCACCTCACGCCCCGTTTTAATTATTCGACCCCAGGCAAACACGCGCACATTGTAATATGCAGGCAATTAAACCGCCTCGCCGCCCACACACTAATCAGCGCGCCCTCTTTTAACCCTTCATAAAAAGCTGCTCTGTTATATTATTTCCATAGTTCTTTTTACGTGTGCTTAAAAGCCGCGGGTGTTTTTTTTTTATTCTTCATTACCTTTTTCTTTTAATTTTCAGCAATTAAACGTTTATCTTGGCAAATTTTTTTTCTTTCGAGGTCAAAAAAATATAAAAATCAAGTAAATTTTTTAGCAATTCAAAATATTACAGATATTATATAATTTTGTTTGCAAAAAATCTGTGACAAATCTATTATGAGGCTTTGTATGCTTTTTCAATTTGCAACTGATATTTAATAAAAGAATAATTATTTTATTTTATAGAGGAAGAAAGTAATGGAAGAACATTTTATTTTTTAGAAACTGCGCTTGGATTCTTGCTGCCTACAATCTTTTGAATATTTTTATGCTAAAATTTCTCGCTTACATGATTGTAATTTATAATACGACACCGTAAATTTTCAGCAGAATTTCCGGGGCTTGTTCCGGTAAGATTCATGGAGCCTTGGACGACAATGGGCTGGTCGCGCTCCCAAGACAAAAGGCCGAATATTCAAAATTCCAACCATTGGAACTTTTGGATAAATGGCTGGGCTTTGGGATACAAGAAATATTGGGGGTAGTGCAAGCAGAACCATTAATTATAAAACACAATACAAATATGGGAACCCTCAGACAGCGATAGCCTCGTTTGTAATTAATTTGTAAAGTTTCGAGGTGTCACAAACAAACGGAAGACACTCGAAATCCGAGCGCTCGAACAAAGCTGGTGTTTCTCTCTTTCTCTTAATTGTGTGCAGCAGATTTACAGATAGCCACACGGTCCCATCCGCTGGCGGCGAAGAGCGCCTCTTTCAAAACCACCCTCGTCGCCAGGGGTGAGATTTCTGGCTGCCCAGACAATAAAACACACTCCCTAGGACGGGGCGTTAAATTGCGCGCGGCGTGTATAACAAATAAATGGCTCCCATCAAAGGGAATTGATTTTTATTGTTTGGAATTAAGATTTAGTAGGCAAGACGTGAAAGAGCCCATTTTATTTGTCCCTTTTGCTTATTTGCTCTCGCGTTGTTCGCCGAGCAGGATAAACGCCGAGTATTTTGCCATGTTGAATTGCGCTTTCTCTGTCAATTTCATGTCTGAGTGGCTGCCGCGATGAGGGCGAAATGCAAATCAGCGGACGTGATTTTGAGGCAGATGCCGAGCACAAGATTTGACGAAGAGAGTGGCTTATCTTTTTTTCCATAACAGCGCCTTGTGGAATTGCTATTACAGATGCATTTCGACAAAATTAAGATACAGCACAGCTTGCCGCTCTTAAATTGCACTAACTGTTATCTGAAATCCATTTTCGTGCTTTTCCGGAAAGCTAAACATAATAACACAAAAAGCGCTTTCCTATCAACGCAACTTGCCGTGGCAAATATTTATGTCCCTTTTGCGTGGAACACATTTTGCCACAAAAAAAGGCTCCTGCGTGTTACTTATTGTTAATAAGCTTTGAGCTAATAAGTTGGAGACTTCACCACTTTCAACTAGAGCTTTCAACCACAGAGCCCCTTAATTAATTTGAGGAAATATTAAGATTTGAATATTAAAATGTAACATAAAAACAAAAAATTAATAAACAATAAACAATGGAGATTAAATTTCCCAAAATACACTTTGATTTGGCTTAAAAATCTTTATGTGTTCAATTTATGCCTTTTTAAAGAATTAAAAATTGACGCCATATAATTGTTTAATAGAACAAAATGAAACCGCATATTTTCTATTAGGCCAAATCGATATCAATTTAAAAGAATTAGACAAAAAACTTAAGACTCGAGAAGATCAGCTCTCTGGTGTGTCTCATGGCACTTTACCAAACGAAGACATTTCGGCAAAAAGTTCCGAGTCAAGATGTGCACAAAGAAAAGTGCGGGCCAATAAAGAAAAAGAGCATAGAAGCCCTCACGCAGCGACAACGCAAATTCAATCAGCGGCAGAGAACAACCCTTGGCCCTGGACCTCCCCTGACTGCGGCAAATTTTTTGTGCGGAATCTCGACCAGCACGGCTCTCTCTTTCAGCAGCAGGCTGGAAATTAATTTGGCCTCACTTGATTGGCCGCGCGTCATTAATTTGACCGAACGACGCTTCGCTCCATACATCTTGGCCAAATGAGCTGCGCTGGGGTGCTGAGTGAGTTTCCTTCCTTCAATAGGTGCGCGTGACCCCCAGCAGGTCACCTGTCACCACCGTCGAGGGACGCCCATTATTGCCGGCACGTCGCAAAAAGTGTTCTGGCTTTCTTGCTCGTTTTCGGCGGCCACAGTCTCCACTCTCGAACAGAGAAGTGATTTATGTTCGTCTCGCAATTTAAGGGACGAGAGAAAACAGGTATCAATTATCCAAAAAGTCACTAAAAGAGAACAATTTGCAATTTAAATTTAGATTTATTTTATTTGTAAATTGATTTTAATTTTTACTTAAATATCTAAAAATGATCATTTTAAACTTTAAAATTTTTGCTGTTGTAAATTTCACATTTAAAAGGATTTCGTATGTAAATTTCACTTTGGGGAAAACAAAACCAAATTGACAAATATTTTTGTTAAATTTAAATTTAATCAGTTTGATTATTAGATACTACTCTTCAATAATATTTAACATAATTGAAGAAACTTAAGCATACTTTAAATTTGGAGGCGAAAAATCTAAAAATTGTACGCCAAAGGAAGTCTGGATGCAGAAACGACAAAACGAGAGGGGCCTCGAACGCGCAGCGCACATAATATGTAATAAATTATGTGCAAAGAATACACCAATGGGGCGGTCCAATCCGTCAAACACCAGCGTCATTAGCCGGCAAACTCTGCCAGCGCACCAGAGATGATGAACACTCGAATGGAAAAAATTGCACAATTCAAGCGGGGGTTTCCACCCGCGCGCCTATGCTGTCGCAGCAGGGCCAAAAAAGCAGTCATTGCCAAATGATCGACCAAGTTTGACGATTCGGGGGTAGAATGGGCGAATCCATTGTCTTCCGTACAATGGGAAGAGGCGCAAAAAAAATTTGATAAGAATTCAACATTAAAAAGGCGGAAATCTTTTTTCTGTGCAAAAAAAAAGATATCATGAAAATAGTTATAAATCAGAAGCAAAATTCCCTTCCTCACTCTGCTTGCGAGAGCAAATTAGCAAGTGCCGTTGTTTATTAAGCAACCCAGTCTGACTTTAATTGCGAGTTTCATATTTTATGGCATCTCTTCACAGAAGGGAAAGGCGTTTTATGGGAAAAGCAGTGAGTGCACTAAATACATGGCGAACTTTATCACAACATATTTAATAATATCAATGATTTCTGTTTAAAAATCATGATTTTGTAACTATAAAGTATAATTTTTCTCGTTATAGTTTAAAAATACAAATTTCTGTGCACATAACAGATAACGAAGGTTTAGCAAGATTTATGACATAAAAATTTCTAAAATTACTGCTTTATATGTTGAACAGAATCCAAAGACACTTGGTGAATTGGTTGCCTCAAGCCTCAAATCACAAAGAAATGTGCTTAGAAACAAAATATTTAACAATCATGCATATTATATCTTCAATGAAAAGTTAAGAATTTTTTTGTGTATTTTTAAATATTTACGAAATCTTTTAAATTTATTCCAGATCAAACCCCCAAAACCTCAATGAGCTCCGTGTACATTATTGGATGATATAATATTAATTAAATTTAAAAGATTTAAATGATAAAAATCGGTAAAAATAATTGAATTTATTACTAGCAGCTATATGCACATATGAAACCAACAAACTTGATGATCTTTTGATAATATGTATTTTATTCACACTGAGAATTAGCGTGCGGGCAATTTTATAAATTTCTCTGCAAACAAAACCAAGGCTTGTCGTGTAAATGCCGCATACGCAGGTAAGAAAAAAATAATGTCTTTTGCATTACATTATGCAAATGTATTCAAATTTTAGATTTGTCCTTGCTTTTCGAGAGTGAGTCTAGCTGTAGCTAATTATCGTATTCCAAATAAGGAAAAACAGCCACCCACGGACCGCGATGTTAAAAGGCGCCTAAATGAAGAAAACGGCCTTAAAGCGAGCGATCTGTGTTTAGGTGCGTGAATAACCTCAAACTCAAGGTCCCAGTCTTAATCTAAGGAGAGCAAAAATTTCAAATTTGGGTACGTAAACCAACACAGCCATTTTTATTTGGTAGGAATTTTGTTTTGACTGTCGGTTTTGCATCGCAACACGCAAAAACGAATGCAATTTTCGGACGATTGACTCAATAACATTTTTAAATCGCGCATCATTATTCCCGTCGAATTCAAAATTCGGCAGTTGTAGAAACGGATTTTATCTTTACCTGAAATTCTCCTCGGGCTGCCAGGGTGTTGAACCAGTCTTGACAATTTCGGCAACAAATGGAAATTCTGCCCTTCTTGCGACGAAAAACTCGCAGTTCGCACAAGTTCAAAAGAGTCCAAGTTTGTCCGATTCTCGAGAGAACCACGTTGAAACTGTGAATTGAAGAGACATCTATTGGCCGACTTGAACACTATCGCGGTCGCCTCGTTTTTCATGCAACTTTGGCCAGCAGCGCCGACTCGCCGAAGCTCAACCTGTGATTTGGAAAACACAAAAGCTGTGTAATCATGGCGTCTGAGCGGTACAGCTTCTCCCTGACGACTTTCAGGTACGATTTCCTCTGTTCATTGCCAATATTAATAAGAATTTAGCGGAGAAAAATGTTGTCTGAAGTATGGCGAATCGATCAAACTGATAATTCGCAATGCATTTCGCGTAGTTGCAGAGTTATCTTGCTCGCCGAATGCACTCTCTACCATGACTTCCTAAAATATCGTGCAAAAATACACGAAATTAAATTAAAACGCCCTTTTAAAATTCTGATTTTAGTCCGTCAGGCAAACTTGTGCAAATAGAGTATGCCTTAGCAGCCGTCGAAGCTGGAGCTCGTTCCGTTGGAATCAAAGGTTATTAATTTTACTTGATCACATCATTTACAGTAATTTATTTAAAAATCATAATTTTTTTATAAAATAATCTCGTTATTAATCTTTTTCTTTTGCATCCTTCAGCGTCCAATGGTGTTGTCATTGCCACTGAGAAAGTGCCCAAATCCATTCTAGTGGATGAACACAGCGTTCACAGGGTCGAGGAAGTGTCCAAGCATATTGGAATGGTATACAGCGGTATGTAAACAATCACAATGAATAATTTTTGCACCCGTTAAATCCTATCTTGACTGAAAGTTCTTGATAAAAATTTTTTCATTAAAAAATCTACTTATTGAAATTCTTTCTCCTTGTTCGCATTAGGCATGGGACCTGACTATCGCCTGCTGGTCAAAACAGCTCGCAAGAAGGCTCAGCAGTATTCATTGGTGTACCAAGAGGAAATCCCAACTGCACAATTAGTGCAAAGAGTTGCTTCCGTCATGCAGGAATACACACAGTCCGGAGGTGTTCGTCCTTTCGGAGTGTCTTTGCTCATCTGTGGCTGGGACAACGATCGTCCATACCTTTTCCAGTGTGATCCGTCTGGTGCCTACTTTGCTTGGAAGGCCACTGCTATGGGCAAAAATTACAACAATGGAAGAACCTTCTTGGAGAAAAGGTTGGATAAAAACTAAAAAGAATTATGATTTAATCATACATAAATTTTTATCTTCAGGTACAATGAAGACCTTGAACTGGATGATGCAGTGCACACTGCCATTCTGACACTGAAGGAAGGCTTTGAGGGGCAAATGACTGCTGACAATATTGAAGTTGGTATCTGTGACGCTACTGGTTTCCGAAGACTGGACCCCAACAGCGTCAAGGATTATCTGGCCAACATTCCCTAAGAAGTCACTTTGTGATGGCAAAGACTTTACCACCCTTTGGCATTGTTGTGTGCAACTCTATAATCATAATTTTGTTTTAACTATCTTCTCTTGGCAAATTGGAAATTTTTAAACATATGAAGTATCAAATTCTTTAACTCCTATATCTGTTGCAAATATAACGTCATGATAACAAAATGCTTGTTTCTCCTTAAAAATTTCCATCTTGCCACATTAAAATGTTATTTGGACTAAAATGAATGGTAAAATAATTAAAAAAAAAAATGATTTAATTTATATTTGACATTTCAAATTTGCAGTACAAATTTGATCTATTTCCGGAGAAAAATTAAAAAAAAAAAACAATCACCTCATCTTTTGTGTAATTGCAACGGCAAGATGAGAATGTACTCATGGCACCTATTACTGTTTCCACATCTTCAAGATGTATTGCAAATTCAACTAGAATATTTGAATTTGATATGCAATTTTTTCTTCTTTTTAATTAAAACAATCAACTTATGGTTTTAATTATTTATTTGAAATTTTCTGCGCTAAAATGACTTTAACAGCATTTTTTAAATTTTTTTAACAGTTTCTGTAGAAATGAATCTATTTTCTATTCCATCTCTTGAATTATTGTCAAATACAACAGTGAAATTATTTATTTTCCAAACTTTCAACAATCGAATTCTATAAATCTATAATTTGAACCAATAAAAGTGATTTTTAACGGATTTTAACTGAATTTTGAAAATATTTTTAGAATCTGCGCACAAGAACTAGAATATTACCGCTATTTATTTTGAAACGCTTGAGAACCAGCTGGATTTGAACAAAAGCGAATCGCGCGATCCTGGCTCCTCTCAGACTCGGACGCGAATGGCAATGGCAGTCGGTTTAGCTGGGCAGCAAACGCATTTCATGACTCGAGAAGCACGCGCTTGATATTGATTACGACGTTGCGATTAACCCCAACATGTCCGAAAACAGGGACGAAATACTGATGGATTTCCAGGTAAACACTTCTAATTATTATTGCTCAAAATACGTAGATATTTAAATACAAAAGAATTCCTCGTGTGTTTCAAATGGTTGCTATGCATAGTTTTGTGATTTTTACTTGAGTCATCACCTTTAGAAATATCATTCTGATGGGCCAGCATTCTTTCAAGTTTTGATACAATAGCGTGATAAGTTAAACGCACTTTTTGATTTGTGTTTGCAAATCAGTGTTGCAGAGAGTATTATTAAATGTCCATGTCGATCCACTTTGTAACTTTAAGCTTAAGGTGGAATGTGTGTTTACTTACAAGTTTTTACGTCTAATTTTTAAATTAATTCTATCTCTTTGCAATTTTACGTAATTTTGTAATCTCACGATTAACAGTTTAATCTTTCAAATTAAAATTATGTTAATTTTTTTCAAATATATTAATGGAAAATTTTGTAATGCAATTTTTATTTACAGGCCTGCACTGGAATCGAAGATGTGGGAGAAGCTTTTTCTCATTTAGAAGCTGCTCAATGGGACCTCTTGGTAAAAGATTGGATTTAATTTGGCTGGAAAGAAATATAACTCTGTATTACTTTACCTTTGTAGAAAGCTATTCAGAGGGTGATGCCACAGGATTCCCAAACACTTCCCTCAGAAACCACAGATGACATCGAAATGATTGAACCTGCACTTCCATCAGCTTCAACAGCCCCAAACATTGCAGGACCTTCGACTTCTCAGGCACTAGATAGGATAACATTTCACGTTACTCACGGAGATCAAGAAGTTGATTTCATTGTCAACAAGAAAGATAAAATTGGTATAATATTTGTTTTAAAAAAATATCCAATATCTGAAAGAATCCTCAACTTCAGAATATTTGAAGCAGCTTGTGGGCACAAAATTCAACTTGCCTTCATGTCGAGTAGACCTTCAAGGTTGGAGGCGAACTCCAGCATCTGATAAGATAACATTTGGTGATCTTCGGTGCCCACCGTATGTTCCATTAGTTGTAGTGGTTCTTGATCCTACTCCCGATGGAGTTGCAGCAGCCGACGAGTATGGAACCCATATTTTCTTCTTTTTTTTAGACTACATAACTATTACATTTATGATTTTCAGGCCAAACATGATTGAACGTCTTACCAATAATTTCACATTGAATATTAAAAATGAAGCCAACCAAAAGACATACAATTTGAAATTCCCTGGTAGCAGGACCATTGCTGAAGTGAAACATGATATTTTCGAGCTGACAGACATTCCAGTCAGGCATCAAAAATGGGCTGGTTGGCCCCCATCAGTCTCAGATCAAGTAATTAAAAGTTCCCTTGTGCTTTAAAGTTGATTGCTTTATAATGTTTGTTACAGGTAACTCTTGCTTGTTCTGGCATCAACTATCCTGAGCAAAATTTGACTTTGAGTAGACAAGCATCGGCTAAAGAAAATAAGAAAAAGCAGCCAGTAATTTGCATTGATGATAGTGACAGTTCACAGGGAGATTATGAAGATGCGTCAGAATCACTTAATGGTGATGATGATATGCTATACATGGGCACAGTTGAGACTTCTAGAAAAGTCAGAAACCTAAGTAAGCTGAAACAAAAAATTTCGTCATGTTTTAATTTTGTTTTTCTTTTTGTAGTTCCAGAAGATGTTGATGATGAAATTGCCGGATCAATTTCTTTCATGGAGGAGTATGTCCGACGCTACGGCGAGGCTCATCCTCTATTTCTTCAAGACACGCTCGCGGAGGCTGTGAAAGAAGCATTTAATAAACCAGCTAGAGAGGTTGAAACTGAAATAGAGACTAATTTAATTGAGCTAATTTTTTTATTCATTGCAGCGCCGTCCGTTGGTTATTTACATTCATCATGATGGAAGTGTCCTTGCAAATGTGTTCTGCACTCAAGTCTTGAATTCAGAGCCAGTGATATCATACTTGAGTGAGCACTTTGTAATATGGGGCTGGGACTTCACACATGAGCAGAATAAGCAAATGTAATTTTTCATTTGTGTCATTTTAATATTTTTCAAATGCATTGGCGTTAATTAATTTCCATAGGATGTTGCGCTCCGCGTCACAAAGTCTTGGCCCAATGGCAGCAAATCTAGTGCGCAGCATTGACCTGGAACACATGCCTGCACTTGTTGTTGCCAACAAAATCCGATCGTCAATAGAAATAGTTTCAGTTATGCATGGGCACCTCGTTGTTAATGAGCTTATCAGCAATTTGATGCAGGTAAATTGGCATTTTTTTTAGTCATGATTTTCTGTTTTTGCAATTTTATTATTCATCACTAGGTCAGGGACAGATTCCAGGAGAACCAAACTCAAGAAATAATGGAGGAGAATGAGCGCATGGCTCGAGAAAGGGTTTTGAGAGAGCAAGATGAGGCTTACCAAGCTTCATTGGAAATAGACAGAGCTAAAGAAGAGGCGAAAAAAGCTCAGGAAGTAGCTAAGGAAAGAGAGGAACAGCTGCTTCAATCACATCAAAGGCAAGAAGCTGCAAAAATGGAAGCTAGAAAGGCCGAGGCAAGCAAGAGGCTCCCCAAGGAGCCTGCGGACGCTGATGGTGTTGCCAGGATTAGGTTTCGTTTGCCATCGGGAGAGTTTCGCACTCGACGATTCCATGGAAGCTCACCTTTGCAAGTAATTTTCTATTTAATTAATTTGTGTATTTTTTTAAAAAAAAAATCTTTTGTTTTTTCTTCTTCAAAGGTGCTATTTGACTATTTACTCATAGAGGGCTACCCCCCAGAAGACTACAAGGTTCTCTCAAGCTGGCCTCGCAGAGACGTAAGTTCTATCTTATATATTATTAATAAAATATATACATTTCAAGTTTGATTTTTATTGATTTCTTTATTACTTTACAGCTTACAGCATTAGACAGCACTCAAACTCTGCAGCATGCAAGTCTGTGCCCTCAAGAGACTGTGATCTTAGAAGAGCGATAATTACTCTTAAGTCCTGCACCTGTATCTTTTCTGTATGTTGGTATTTATTCATCTGACTGTAATTTATTTATTCACTAACTCTTGAGCTCCGCGTTTTCATTTTCTCTGTTCAGCCGCACCCAAACAAATCCAGTATCCGATGGGCATCGAGGGGTTCGATATGGAGCCTTGATAGGCCTAAAGAAGTCTGGAGGCAGGTGCATCTCGAAATGCATACTTTCCAGCATTCTTGGCACTGTCTCACGAGGTCCTGAAACAAAGGGATTTTTAAAACTTTAGAGTTGAATTGGGCTTGCAGCGTAAGAGCAAAATTATTGTTTACACAGATTATCTGCCGAAAACTTGATCATCCTAAGATACTTTAGTAGAATAATTTAATGCAGGGCAGTAAATGAAAGATAAGTATTTGCAACTATATTTGCGCTGTTAACTATCAAATTCCAGCTTGCTATAAATTTTCATGCAAGAAATTGGGTGCCTTATTAATACCATCACACTCCAACGATGTAAATTTTACCGTTTTAGTTTGGAATTTGGATTACTTCAGAGTTGAATTATATTCCATTTTTCATGCATTAAAATCTCAACTCTAAAGTTCAAATTAAGTTCAAGAGTTAGTGTTGACATGAAATTCTTTAAACCAATAATTGTTGGGTATATGATCCAACAAAAATTTTCCAAAAGACATTATAGTGTTTTGCTAATAAAATAACTAAAATATATATATATTTTTTTTTAAATGTATCATCTCACCCAGACTGTAATCTGAAGGGTCGAATGAGGTGTTCTCGGTCACATTTTTGGGAATCAACCAGGCAATGGTTGCACTTTTCTGGTAATTGTGGTCATGCATCATTCCAGTTATTTGTGCATAAAAAATATCGCCCTGCTCATCCATTAAACTGACAACATCGCCAATTTGGAAGTATTGACCGTTTAAGAAGGCGTATGATCGAGTATAGCTTTCTCGCACTAAATTTGTCAGTCTTTGGGGCTGTGGAGATGCTTGATTAATGAAATTATTTTGAATTTTCCAATGAACTTTACAATTCGCTTCAGCTGAGACCTTCGACCTTTGCCTTTAGGCAAAGTTGGTCGGGTTGTTGGAATTCCACTTATCAAAGGCTTAATCAAATTGCTTCTTGTATTTCTCAATGACTGGCTCTTATATCCTTCACTTTGACCGCCATTAGAATCCAAGCAACGTCCACAAACTGTCTGCCCTGCATCACCTTTCCTCATTTTTCTGCTACACCTTGGACACCCTAAATTCATGAATTTAATTTTTAAAACGACATACAATAAATTTGGTAATAAATATTAATTTTTGATCGCATACATACATTTGGGCCCCTGAAGATCAGTTGATTTTGTTCTTGCGGATCTTCTAGGCTCAAGAAGAGGAGCGTCCGAATCTTCATTCAATTCGGATGTAGTCGATGGAGACTCCGAATTAGTTTCCATTTTAAATATATTCCTATGCGAATATTTAATGTTTCTGGATAAAAACAAAATCAAAAACAACATATGAAGAGAATGAAATTGCAAAATACTTACGAAACCAACCAACTTTTGATCGTGTTCTTATTTTAGTGGATCAATTTACTGAAGTTGCCACTTGCCAGCTTTTTTGTTTTGTTTTTATTTTGCTTCGCTGGTTCGCTGCCGCTCGCAAGGCAAGAGAGGGGGTGGGGCAATAAGGTCTTATTGGGGTGGGGGAAAGGGTGTTTTCGATTCAGGCTGCCCTCTGATGCCTGTGCTCAAAAGTACGAAATCGCAACATTGGATGAAGGAGATAAACAAAAAAGTTCTCTTACAGCATCAGTTTTGATCAAAACTCCTCATTATTAATTATAAATATTCAGGAATTCCAAGACGGCAACAAAGATGGATATCAGAGATAAGGATAAAAATGAGCATCCCCTTTCACTAAAAGGTACAATTTTTTTAATGAAAACCTCCAAAATCGCTACGCCGTTCACAGCGGCCAGCCGCAGCTTGAAAATTTGTATAAAAAATAAATATTTTTTACAATTGTGTACGTAAGCAACTCTTATCCTTCACATTTTTCACTGAAAAAAATTAAATTTGATGAGCCATGTCATATGGTTGTGACACGCATGGGCAGGTTTCACGAATTATGGGCACCCCCTGTCACAAACTATGGGCACCCCCTGTCACGAACTTTGGGCACCTCTGTCACGAACTTTGAGCACCTCTGTTTCAAACGAGGGCACGCCCTCTCGGCGTGTCACAAATGATGGGCACCCCTGTCACGAATAATGGGCATCTGTCGATCTGAATAAAAGCGGGAGGGGAGCAGATTTTTTGTCTTAAATCATATTTTACACTCATAACAATGTACACACGTGTGTTAAGATGATTTTTCTTGAATTTCACCACCATATAGCGGTTGTCTCACATAATGCTGCCTGAAATTAGCATTGCCCATAATTCGCGACATGACATGCCCACAGTTCGTGACAAATGGATTTCATGAGCATTTATAGAAGAATAATTTTTTTTTACACATTTTAAATAATTTTAATTGTAATGGATGCCAGAAGAACAAATATTAATGCAATTTAAGGGGTGCCCAATTGTGTGACAACTGCCCAAAATTCGTGACACCCCTGCCCACAATTCGTAACAAGCACTTTTTCAACTTTCAAATCTTTACCGCTGATTCTCACACATATGCTGGAATATTTAAGTGATTCTATTGGTGAAATATTGTTGCCAGATAACTGACGAATCAGAAAATACCATAAAACCTCATGTATGGCACATCAATTGCCATCTATGGGCGATCAAAAAAGTTGATATCTTAGCTATGCCCAAATTCGTGACACAACCATAACTATTTTTAGCACTTTCTTAAATCAACTATATTTATAATAATATGTAAATATTTTAATTTTTGTTTGATTTTTCAGTTATGAGGCTAACTCGACCAAGTTTGTTCAGTTCCATGGTAGTTACATGTGAACCAGGCGATATCCCTGGAAATTTATTTGCCAGTGACCTAAAAAAAGATCTGACTTCAGTTAATGGGACTGAAACCCTAGCAGTGGGTCAATTTCTCCTTCTTCCGCAGAGCTTTGGGTATGTTTCGATTTCCAGATGATTATTTGTTTGAATAAATGCAATTTTTTAGGAATCTTTACCTCGGAGAAACTTTTTCCAGTTATGTCTGTGTACAGAACAATAGCTCAGTGACCGTCAAAGATGTGTCGGTGAAGGTCTCGCCATTTGAAATTTTTTGTATACTTAAGCAATATTTATTATTTTGAAATTTTGCAGTCGGATCTCCAGACAAGTTCACAAAAGATTTCGTTATCGGCAATCAGGGCACCGCAAGAACTTCAACCAAGGCATACAGTGGATGAAGTTATTCATCATGAGGTTACTGAACTTGGAACCCACATGTAATATTATATATTTTGGAATGAGAAATTTATTTTACTTATATTTATCTTTTGGTAGACTTGTATGTGAAGTTAGCTACATGAGCACATCTGGTCTGCTGAAATCATTCCGTAAATTCTTCAAAATTCAAGTGCTCAACCCACTGAATGTGAAAACAAATTTCTACAATGCAGAGGTAGGTTTTGTTTTGTTGATATACATCTTCATACAATGATTGAAATTTCAAGTCGGTAATAATAAAAAAATAAGAATAATATAGCATGGGTTTATGACAATTGATTGATATTTTGTGCAATTATTAAACGTCTAATAACTTAATTGAGCACTTTTCTGTTACACAAATTGTGAAGAAAAAGTTCAATCAAATGTGTTTGTATGAATCACATTATGTAATATAATAACAAATAAGAAATACATTTTAATGTCATTAATACAAAATTATATTGACTTGGTAATTAATTTCGGTGGCCTGCTTGTGCTGCATGGACAGGACGTCATTGTAAGTGATCTTCACAACCTGTATTCACTGTACACAACAAATCCTTCCTTTACACAAATTATTTTATGTTGTATGGTCATGTTACTAACAAATAATTTTAGAGTTAGCTTGTCAAAAGTGTCTAATTTGTTTTTTACCTCTATTTTAATTGTCTCTTATTTTAATATCTTCATAATTTGGTGATGGGTGTAAACAATCAGGTTTTTTGTGTGGTGCTCAGAAAAAAGAAACTAAATGTTGTCTTCTGTTGACTAGAATTTCCTTTGACATTTTTCTACCATTCTAACGTTTAAAAAATTCTTTTCTTTTCTCAGTCTGATGACGTTTACTTGGAGGCCCAAGTCCAAAATATGACAGCAGGACCAATTTGTCTTGAGAAAGTTCAACTTGAGTCGTCGCAAGCATTCGTTGGTACTTTCCATTAAAATAATTAATATTCACAAGCTTAGTTAATAATTTTTTATCTAACTTTACTTTTTCATTTTTAGTACGTTCACTCAATCAAGTTAATGGTCGCTCAGTTTTTGGATCCGTGAATGTAGTGCAGCCTCAAGCATGTCGTCAGTTTCTGTACTGCCTGAGTCCAAAGCCTTCATTGTCAAGTTCCACTAACATTGGCAAATTAGATATTGTTTGGAGATCCAACTTAGGAGAGAGAGGTCGCTTGCAGACTAGTCAACTGCAGCGAATGGTTGGTTGCAGAAAAAGTTATTTAGGGACAAATTTTAATAATATTTTTGCAGATTCCTGAATACAGAGATGTCAGAATAACTGTGATCGAATTGCCCAATTTAGTTTACGTGGAGGAACCATTCACGTTTACATGCAAACTTCTAAATACTAGGTAAAGTAACAAAAACTTAATTATATCTTTTCTACATTTAATTTGCGTTTATATTCTAGTGGACGGAAAATGGAGCTAATTTTAAACCTCAACACATCAAGTCCGTGCAATTTGGTTTGGGCTGATATTTCAGGAAAATCATTAGGCACACTTGAAGCTGCCGCCTCTAAAGAAATAAGTCTTACAGCTGTTCCCCTTGCAACTGGCCTACATGTGAGTACTAAAATCACTTAAATTTTCTACAAAATAATAATTAATAAATTTTCAAATGTCAATTAAGAGCATTCCTTAAAATGCTTAAAATAATGTAAATATTAATTGTTGCATTAAGCGTACTAATTTTAAAGATTTTTGAAAATTTTTATGCATCTGTGTACATCATATAACATTCAGGTGTTTAAGCTCACATTAAATATATAAAATTGCAAACATGTATGTTGCAGAATATTTCTGGAATTCAACTCGCAGACAGTTTAAATAAAAAGACATACGACTATGATGAGCTGGCTCAGGTTTTTGTGGTCCAAAAGCCAGTCGAGGAGTGACGTTGTCTTGTAAGCGTTTTGTTATGTGTGTTTCATCACACAAAAATCTATGATAAATATATAGATTAAAAAATTCTTTCATGTTTATTTTTAATTTTTAAAAAAAATATCAATAAAAAATATACTAAAATTACTTTGCCGCAACTAAATGGGAGAAAGAAAATTTTTATGTAGTTATAATTTCAAATAAAAAAAATGGCAAAGTATTAAATTTCAATTACTATGCATTTTATTATAAAGATATGGAGAGTCCATAATTATATAAGGCTAAAAATACTGCGCCAGAACTTTTGTAACGGGCTATAAAAGTTAATTGTTAAAAGTTATAGCAAGAGGCCCCGAGTTTGATTATCTTGTCTTTTTTTGTGGGAACGATGTTGAGTTTCCTGTCCTGGGAGTGGATTTATTGGTGCAGTTTACACAAAGCACTACTTGCTCAGGTAGCTCTGATACCTGCCGTGATGAACCACAGAGAGTGAGGTGAGCCCCAAAGAATAACGCTTGGCTCGCACCTCTCCTTTTTTGCTTTCCATGCCAAAATGACTGGTTTCCGGCTGCCGCCTTTACCAGAAAAAGATACATTGAATAGATATAGCAGCCACTGAGCGAGCGTAATGATGCAGTAGCGGCACCGCACTTTGAGAGGATTCATGCAATCTAACCATGCATTAGATACGATAAATCTTGATAATTATTAATTGTCATTCATAATGGTTAAACAATATTGATTATTCTCGTGCATATAAGACATTAATTTTAATTTTATTGAATTAAAAAGCTATAACAACTATTTAGCACAATTCATTAAATTTTAATAAATAAGAACAATTTGGTTTGCCTTACTATTTAAATAAAATAGAAGCGTGCCATACATGCAGTAGCTTTTTAAGAATTTGTTTCAAATAATTTATTGATACAAATGACTATACAATCTTATTTTAGAAAATATTCTATTTAAATTTATTAAACATTTTTTCTTATTCAATGAACGCTAGTTTTGCTTTAAAAAAAAAATCAAATCATGATCTAGCAATTTCGCGCATCCAAGAAAATCAAGTTAGTGTTTTTGGGCGACGCTGAGAAATGCGTCAATGTGATTTTTGCTGCTATTTATTCGCATCCTCACTGTCATTGTCATAATTCAGGCACATAACGTTGTACATGCGCTTGTCCCTTGTCTTCTTGCAGAACTGGAGGGGGTAGGGGGCGGTGGAGGGGATAGGCGCGTGGCGGCGCTGCAATCAGTGCAGTCAGTGTCCAATGCGGGTCCCGGCGAGTCGTCCGCCGTTGTCCGACATGCAGCCAGGTTGCAAGGGGCCGCCACCGCCCGCCCCCAGAGCGGCCCCCGATGCCAAAGCGAAGCAAGTGTTAAAGGAAGCAGTGGAGGCGGTTGTCAACAGTTTTGCCAAACACACGCAGGGCTACGGCAGAGGTAATTTTTTTTTTTGCTTTTACAAATTTTTATTTACAAAATCTTGTTTTTCAATTTTTTATTTGAAATAATCATATGATACGTCAACTGTATGTATTTTTGTAATATTTATAACTATATAAAAATTTGATTGACTTTTCATTGCATTACCGTCATTACCGAACAACAACATAAACTGTGCAATTTAAAATTTACCTGTGACTCATGACAATTAATGAGCTGCAATATATGACAGCAGGTTTATTTGAAATTTATGATTGCTCTACGAAGAAACGATGTGAGGTCTTTCGCTATACTTTAAAACTGTCCGTCGAAAGTTTCCCATCAGAGAAATCTTATACTTTCGGTCAGGTATTGGGTTACACTTCTCTCAGTCAGACCTTACAAGAGAAGACCTTACGGTTTTACACCCGTGAAAAATTTCCATTTTCTGGCAAAGCAACTCGCGGCCGCCGGTTGCCATTTATCCTGGTAATGCGATTTCAACGCATGTCCCTTCCCAGTGGATTTTGTAGCACAAAGGAAACGCGGAGAGTCATAAAGCAGGCTCGGAGACTTCAATGCGCGAGCACGCTGCTGCTGCTCCCGTGCCTCCGACAGTCCTAGTATCGCTACCTGAAGGTATTACTATTAAAGCAGCTGTCTTTTTCACACACGCACGGAATATATATGCATCAGTCCATTTATTTTCCGTCCACACGCTTTTTGAAAGGAAGGCCGTATGTTCTCTCTCTCTCTCTCTCTCGTCAAAATAACACGTTTCTTATGAATTATTAGCAGATGCAAAGACCAGCCAACATGAAATGTGTTCTGTTATTTAGTTTTCGAGCTGTGCACAAATATGCATTTCGGTCGCACCTGCCAAAGCAAAATGTGCTCAAAAGCTGAGTTGTCCAATTCTTTCTGTTCTCACATACCCCGCCCCAAGTTGCAGATATCAATATGAGATTTACACCACTTGATCATCTTAGTTCCAAGGCAAGTTTCCTAAATTTTTATCAAAAAATTTTCAAAATTGCGGGTTTTATGGGACATTTTGAAAAAATAAAAAAACGCAATTATCTCGGTTTCTAGTGGTCGTAGAACAATTTTCCGGGTATGGTTGAGCTCGTCTCAGCAAGTTCTACAACTATTCTGCTGGAAGCAAAATTGTAGGTCAAAGGTCAAGGTCAATTTTTGTGAACGTAAATTTTCAAACTCAAAATTGAAAACCAGCCGACCATTTTAAATTAATTTTGAGATAGCCAAACGATTCCTCGTGAAATTTTACGTAATATATGTCAAAACTGCGATGAGGTTATTTTTTGTTAAATTTAAAAATAAATAAGAATATTAAAAAACATGGTTTTTTGCAACTCCGAAGGAAGGGTCAACATTATAATCGCATTTAACTTCATCCCTGATGATTTTAGGTAAAAACTGATGATGACCAAAGTTGATCCCCACGTCAAGACCAATCGAATGATGTATAGGTCAATGACCTTTGGTGACCTTCAAATTTTAAAACTCAAATTTGAGAACCAGCCGACCATTTTAAATTAATTTTGAGATAGCCAAACGATTCCTCGTGAAATTTTACGTAATATATGTCAAAACTGCGATGAGGTTATTTTCTGTTAAATTTAAAAATAAATAAGAATATTAAAAAACATGGTTTTTTGCAACTCCGAAGGCAGGGTCAACGTTATAATCGCATTTAACTTCGCCCCTGATGATTTTAGGTAAAAATTGATAATGACCAAAGTTAATCCCCACGTCAAGACCAATCAAATGATGTATAGATCAATGACCTTTGGTGACCTTAAGGTCAAAGGTCACCCAGGACAGCAACCTGAGGTCACATGACCTAGATGTATGATATGTTTTTGAAAAGGTCTTGTTGAGAAGATAATTTTGGTTACCATGTTTTGGTCTGTACCTCGACTACAAACCAAATGATTGTACTTTTGTTTAATTAAATGCACAATTTTATGAGAAGTGAATTTGAAAAGTACAATTATTCGGCTTGTAGGCGATGAACAGACCAAAAATTGGTGACTAAACTTATCTTCTCAACCAGACCTTTTCAAAAACATATCATACATCTAGGTCAGGTGACCTCAGGTCACCGACCTGGGTGACCTTTGACCTGAAGGTCACCAAAGGTCATTGACCTATACATCATTCGATTGGTCTTGACGTGGGGATCAACTTTGGTCATCATCAGTTTTTACCTAAAATCATCAGGGATGAAGTTAAATGCGATTATAATGTTGACCCTTCCTTCGGAGTTGCAAAAAACCATGTTTTTTAATATTCTTATTTATTTTTAAATTTAACAAAAAATAACCTCATCGCAGTTTTGACATATATTACGTAAAATTTCACGAGGAATCGTTTGGCTATCTCAAAATTAATTTAAAATGGTCGGCTGGTTTTCAATTTTGAGTTTGAAAATTTACGTTCACAAAAATTGACCTTGACCTTTGACCTACAATTTTGCTTCCAGCAGAATAGTTGTAGAACTTGCTGAGACGAGCTCAACCATACCCGGAAAATTGTTCTACGACCACTAGAAACCGAGATAATTGCGTTTTTTTATTTTTTCAAAATGTCCCATAAAACCCGCAATTTTGAAAATTTTTTGATAAAAATTTAGGAAACTTGCCTTGGAACTAAGATGATCAAGTGGTGTAAATCTCATATTGATATCTGCAACTTGGGGCGGGGTATGTGAGAACAGAAAGAATTGGACAGTTGTAATTTTTTTACAATCGAAATTGAACGAAATCAGCTTTTGCTTAAATAATCATTGAAAAAAAATTCTTTTTCTAATCAGAAAAATAAAATAATTAAAAAAAAAATAATATCAATATCTCATCTCATAGTATATAAATAAGGTTTTTAATTTTTTTAAAATGTTGAAATGATTGCCATTTTTTAAAAAAAATTACCAACATTTAGAAGATTTAACAATAATTTAGCAAATAATTATTGTGCTCATTACAAGTAAATTGCCAGGTTGTTGTAGGATGTAGCTCTTGACTCTCCTAACTCATTTACATGGTTCTGCCTACACGTTTCATGCTCTCACTCTGCATTGATGTCATTGAGGGAATATAGATGCAGCAGCATCATTTCACAATTATTCACAAGGTATATCAGTGTCCCTTGCTCTTGCGTCATATCTTTTATGGCCATGCATTATTATATTATACGAGAAGTGATATTTTTTTACTTCAGAAAATGTGATGACAACGATAAATTTAATTTTTTTTTTTAATAGACTCCAATAATTTCTTAAAATTCTATTATTCTACTTCAATGCAGCTACAACTTGAAGTTATCATGGTTTCGAGTCACATTTTTTTTATTGTGAGCTCGTGCCTTAAAGTGAAACTTGTTTTATTTGTTTACCCCATTTGCGCTGCAGCACGAGAAGGTAATTAATAATTAAATGTAGCGCAGTGCATATGCAGAGAGCCTATTTTCTTTGCTCGCCGATCTGCTCTGTGCCGCACCGCAGCTGCGATCGGTTTCTCGCGGCGTGCGTGACTGAAGTATTCATGCTGAGCTGCGGTTGACACTAGATGACAATTTACCGATTCAATTACATACGCCCGTCCTGCTTTTTGCCTTGTGACGACAGAGGTATGAATTACTTGGACGGTCAGCCAACTATTGTTTTGTGTCAGGGCCGAATTTATTATTTTATAAATTGTTTCTTTCAAGTAAATGCTTGAATACTGACGATGCTCTTGCCCACGAATTGATGTACTGATTTGCTGCTATAGTCATGAGAGTTA